ATAGTACAAACTATGCATGACATTCATCCAAACCCAAAGTCTTGTGATTTACCTGGGCTGGGCCCCACCAGAGTCAACAGCATTTCAAGTCATGGTGAACCTACAGTTCAACATTGCTCACTATGGATTCATGTGCTAGTTAGCCCCCTGACTCATGACTGGAACCAGGTATTCTTGTCCTGAGTCCTGCTATGCTCCAAAAATGTGCATGCATATGAGGTGCAGGGCAACTTGGTGTGCCCTCACCTCATGGAGGGAGGGGCCACACTAATTATATGCAACAGGTGGAAAGAGGATCTGACAGAGGCATTCTAGGTGAACTACTTGGTAATGTTTGCCAGGAATTTAAGGCTGGTGAAGAAACAGAAATCAGTAGAAATGGGAAAAAAGGTGCAACTCAGGTGTGACAGTGAAGAGAAAGTAAAAATGTATACAGTGTAGTGGCTCACCGTGACTTGGAAAAATGAGTCAGCAGTCACTAACATATATCTTATTCCAATGGGCTGCACTAATCAATCCTTGTGGTAGGTTCCTATCATTATATTTGCCCCATACTGGCCATTTTCAGTGTTGACTGCATTTAATCAACTTGGTTTCCATCACTGGGCATAGGCTGCTTTTGGTAGTAGTTTAATGATAGAAGATGTATTTAGTGAGGTTTTCTTGTATGTTAATGTTAAAACAAGGGGGGTTTCCCCTTCCTGATAATTGGGGAGGGGGGAGAGGTTTGTGTTGCATTCAGTATTTCAGCACTTTCAGAAAAAGTATTGAAAACAGGAGTCAGAGCTATGGCAAACCTTTCAATTCCATTCCCAGGAAGAATGAAATACAATAATTTTTAAGAATTCACTTTTACTTTTCTTCAGGTAAAAGAAGAATTTTTATTTTTAGACAGTATTTTCTTGTGCAAGGGACTCAAAAACCATATGGTCCATGTTTCCAGCTGATCACTTTCTAATGGCTTAAGTTCTTCCTGTGGAACTGGCAAACTAAAGAATTTTACAAAACATACTAGTCCTATTCTGTCTCCCAACAAGTTCTGCAACTCTCTTTGACAATACTGGCCTTGAACAGTAGCAGTACTTCTATATTTCTGAGGCTGTCCTGGTGTGAGAAAGACAGGACCATTGAGGTTTACAAAATTTCAGGGAAATTAAAATGTGAGGGAAAGCAGCATTCAAGGAAAACTTCAGGGAGAGGGATGCTGGAAAACAGGAGAACATAAACAAAGTAGGCAAAAATAAAGAAAATGGTAATGAAATAGAGATGGGGGGAGAACAAAATTAACAATATTATTACAAAAGAAGGAATGGATGGCCTATGACTAATATGCAAGATATAATCCAGGTGACCTGGTTATATTTACAATACTGTTACTGATCTGCTTGGGGGAAAAGAAGTCATATTAAACCCCTTCACCTAATTCTCCAATTTTTTGAGATGGTGTTAAATAATACATGTGGGCGAAACAAGTTTGAGGTATTCAGATGTAAGCATTATAATTGATAATTAAAGATGGGAAAATGTTGTTCATTTCATATGTTCACATCCACAGAATGGCATTGTAACTGGGCAACTATGGCTGCTTACAAGCAATAAAAAAGTGCTTCACTGGAAGAAGCAGCATGATAGTTTGACTCAGCTCCACAGCGTCTGCATAGATCAGGTGCTTCAGTGGGGTTTTGAGTGCTTTTATCTAAAGTTGATTCAATAAGCTATTAGCTACTGACATACTTGTAGAAACTCTCCTTGTTACCCTTCACATCTCTTGCTAGCTGCAAGTCTAATTGCACTTTGGCCTTCCTGACTTCATCCCTGCATACCTGAGCAATGTACTTATATTCTTCCCTAGTTATCTGTCCAAATTTCCACATCTTATAATGAGAGTACAGTTGCAGCAAGGGAAGTTTAGGTTAGATATTCGGAAGAATTTTCTCAGTTGGAAGGTAGTAAAACACTGGAACAGGTTACCCACAGAGGTAATGGAAACTCCATCCTTGGGGGTTTTCAAAACTTGTCTAGACAAAGCTTTGGCTGGGATGATCTAGTTGAGGATCATCCTGCTTTAAGCAGGGGGTTGGACTAGATGACCACCTGAGGTCCTTTCCAATCCTAACTTTCTATGATTCTAGATAAAAGCTTAAAGTAAAGCGCCCATTTGGGGGGGGGGGGGGGGGTGGG